ACGAATGGCCGGCTTTTCTTTATTCATCTCAAACAACACACGGATAGAGGACAGCCATCTCTGCTACAAAGACGGCAATGAGTTGCCTCCTTTGAATTTTAGTATAATTTGCTCCAGACATGGCCGTTATGTTATATTTTATAATGAACGATTTGATAGAGTGACATATCCGAACGGCTACCAGTCTTTGACTTTAATTGAACTATGTGACGTCGTTATTGAAGGTAAGAACCATTTAAAAACAAACAAATGAACAAACAGTAAAGTTTTCGTTTTCGATGGAGTTGTCTACATGCAATATAATATGTTGGCTTTCAAAAAATGATGAATTGCAAATCATTTTCAACAGCATACATATCAATTTGCAATCCAACATATCTATATACGCATTAATACTATTTTTATAACTTTATGCCTAATTTTTATGTAGTTTTCCCTAGTAAAAACATCAACAAATTTTCCGCCACAAAAATTTGAACGTCTTGAAATAAAGGTGCCATCAAAAAGAAAGATCCAGTATTTCAAAGATTCTATTAATCATTTTTTGGAATTTTATGACGATCTTTTCTTTTTACAAATGCACACACTCGTTACGAATGTACAGACTCGTTTACATGATATCATGGAATAAAAGTTTGGAAAATGAAACAATATCCTGTGTCTGATATCCACTGTATAAAGGGATAAACATGTGAAAAAAGGAAAAAGCAGTAGAGGATGATAACTTTGTGTTAGAAATGGAATAATATTGATTATTTTCACTTTACACAACAGATGAACAGGAGAAGATTAGACAAGGGAGATGCTCAACAAGGATTCAATGGAGAGAACTCAATCATAGAAAAGAAATTCATGGTTATTTTCAAATGAACTGTGAAAATAACGAACAGTGATCATGCTCAAAAGTCCATTAAAAAATACAAATTATGATCAGAGCCAACACTAACCTCTGAAAACAGAGGTGAGATAAGGTGCCATGGAAAAGTAAGCATGCCAAATAAGTGTGAAAATTATGGCTTAATATTTGGGTTAAAGACGTCAGTCAACATTCGACCTAACAACAAACTATATTGCAAACATCATTATATCGGCCATATAATTTGATAATGTTGACTTTAAACGAGATTGTTGATCCTCGTATTATCAATGAAAATAAAGGTGAAAAAAACGGACAGTGATCGATCGAAACAAAAATCTTAAAATAATACAAATATGTAAACAGGGCATAAAACACGGACCCCGGAAATTCCAGAGATGGAATCAGGTACCTAGAAAGAGTAAGCATCCTCTGTTGACAGTCACATCTGCCGTGAGCCCTGTGTATTGATCAGATAGACAGAGTATTCTGTTTAGCATTAAATCAGAGGCCTAACAATAGGTATGAAAAACGTCAGCAAAAATACGCTCCAATGATAGATTATATTTGCTAAGAAGGTCATTATACCTACCATAGAATTTACAAAATACTGACTTTAAACGAGGTTGTTGAAACCCCTGTACCATCAACATATCTGCCAGTACATGTAACCAGCCTGGGTTTAAAAATTGATCGTACTCAGAGCATTCTTTTAAGTATCAAGTCAGTTGGGAGACGTAAACCCCATAAGCAGGTGTTAGCGGAATATTACTACATTAATAAGGAAAGTTGACGATGGAAAAGCCGTGGTCATCTCGTTTGTCATACAATTTAATTGTTAATTGACCCCTATCGTCTGTAGTCATTAAAGGATCCAAATATGAAACAGATGTGGCAGACTCCGAGTAACCGAGTGCTGATTTTAGTATATTCGATACTCGAACGTTCAATCGAGTACCGAATAACGAATTCAGTAAACTAATTAAATCCAGGTATAAAACATCTGTTCATCTATTTGATCACACAATTTTACAAATTTTGATGTTTGGAAGTGAGATTTGGGGTGCTTTCAATCTACTTTCTATTAAGGTCAACAAATATAAGGATTTTACAACAATTTTGAAAGACTTTAAAATGTGAAAAACTGCACACTAAATTGTGTAAAATGTACTTGGTTTTGATAGAAAAGCAGCTAGTTTTGCTGTGTTGCCTGAACTTGGAAGATAACAATTAATTTCAAACTGTAAAGTAGCATGCTAAAATACTGGATTGTTAAGAAGCATGCAAAACTACTGGCATAAATTTGAAAATATAACATCTTCAGATAAAGAAATTATTTTTAACGTACATTCTACATTCAAGTTTCTACACGATAAAAATACTTCTTCCTTGTTTGGTTGTGAAGTTTTATTATGGATAAGATTCCTGAGGTTAAAAAAAAAAACCTATGTTTAAAACTGTGCTTAAATACCCAAACGAAAGATATTATACATCGAGAGTAACGTTTTTACACTAGGATGTGAATCAGGAATGTTTGGAGATAACTGCAACCTAAAATGTTCAATCAAGTGCCCGGGACATAAATGTGAGCTTAAAAGTGGTGATTGTTTGGTCTGTCCAGCAGGATGGCAAGGAACTGAATGTCAGGAAGGTGAGGAAAATAAATTTCTTTGAACTTAGTAACTCTAAATATGCTAATGTGATTGTCACTATATATGTTATTATTCTTAACATTTGTAAAACCCTTTTCATAGGGTTTGAATGCCTGGTGCATAAATCATAGTTTCCCAAAAACGTTAGGGACAAGAAATATGGACTGTAATTTATCAAACAGATTCGAGTTTCCAATATTGAAGTTTACGGAGTTAAGCAATCTAATTTGTGAGAGGAAAAAGATAGTAGAGAACTTTTTAAATATATTAAACCAGATAAGATTTGCAAAGGAAATCTTTTTATTGTTTTTCTCCCTTGTTCCCTACCTTCAATTGGCTCAAACAAGATCCGTGATCAAGTATAAAGGATCATTAAACAATTTTTCTTTTTTTTTTTTTAAAGCTTATCGAGTTGATGTTTCTAAAATTATAAACAATATTCTGTGAAAAAATGTGAAGGCATTACATTATTAGTAGTCAATATTGACTGAATATTTTTAAAAACATATATTTCAGCTCCTATTTGTAATTATAATGTCAAAGCGAGTATGATGTAATAATGTCTGATATGAGAAGAGCTACTTTATAATAAAAATATAGGTTTAAAAGACATTTTAGCTCACCTGAGCTGAAAGTTCAAGTGAGCTTTTTTTGATCACATTTTGTCTGTAATCCGTCTGTCCGTCCGTCCGTCTGTCTGTAAACTTTTCACATTTTCGATTTCTTCTCCAGAACCACTGGGTCAATTTCAACCAAACTTGCCACAAAGCATCCTTGGGTGAAGGGGATTCAAGTTTGTTCAAATGAAGGGCCAGGCCCCCTTTGAAGGGGAGATAATAAAGAATAAGTGAAAATTAATAACATCTTTTAAAAATCTTCTTCTCAAGAACCACAGGGCCAGGAAAGATGAAACTCATGTGGGAGCATCCTCAGGTAGTGTAGATTCAAGTTTCTTCAAATCGTGACACCTGGGCCACAATGGGGTATCAAATTTTAACTTAGAAATATATAGGAAAAATCTTTAAAAATCTTTTTCTCAAGAACAGCAAAGCCATGATGAGTCATATTTATATGGAAGCATTCTCAGATAGTGTAGATTCAAGTTTGTTCAAATCATGACCCCCGGGGGTAGGGTGGGGCCACAATGGAGGATCAAAGTTTAACATATAAATATATAGGAAAAACCTTTAAAAATCTTCTTCTCAAGAACAGCAAAGCGATGATGAGTCATATTTATATGGAAGCATCCTCAGGTAGTGTAGATTCAAGTTTGTTCAAATCATGACCCCTGGGGGTAGGGCGGGGCCACAATGGAGGATCAAAGTTTAACTTAGAAATATATATAGGAAAAATCTTTAAAAATCTTTTTCTCAAGAACAGCAGGGCCAGGATGAGTCATATTTATATGGAAGCATCCTCAGATAGTGTAGATTCAAATTTGTTCAAATCATGACTCCCGGGGGTAGGGTGGGGCCACAATGGCGGATCAAAGTTTTACATAGAAATATACAGATAAACCTTTAAAAATCTTCTTCTCAAGAACAGCAAAGCCATGATGAGTCATATTTATATGGAAGCGTCCTCAGATAGTGTAGATTCAAGTTTGTTCAAATCATGACCCCTTGGGGTAGGGCGGGGCCACAATGGAGGATCTAAGTTTTACATAGAAATATATAGGAAAAATCTTCTTCTCAAGAACAGCAAAGCCATGATGAGTCATATTTATATGGAAGCATCCTCCTAATGACCCCCGGGGATAGGGTGGGGCCACAATTGGGGATCGAAAATTTTACTTGGGAACATATAGGAAAATATCTTCTTCTCAAGAACTGAAAATCATGTTTAGATTTGGAAGCATCATCAGATAGTGTAAATTCAATTTTGTTCAAATGATAACCCCTAGGGGGTAGGGTTGGGCGCAGTGGGGTATCAAAAGTTTTACATAAGAACATATAGAAAAAAAATTTCTTCTCAAGAACAGAAAAGCTATGTTTAGTCATATTGATATGGAAGCATCCTCAGGTAGTGTAGATTCAAGTTTGTTCAAATGATGACCCCTTAGATAGCGAGATGCCACAATGGGGGATCAAATTTTAACAAAAGAATATATGGGATTTTTTTTTAAAATCTTCTCAAGTGCAACAAAACCATTTGTTATATTGACATGGAAGCATCATCAGGTAGTTTAAATTCAAGCCCCCCCCCCCCAGTAATCTTTTCAATACTGAACTGATTTGTGCTTTTGCCCACCCAATGTGCTCAGGTAAGCGATGTGGCCCATGGGCCTCTTCTTCATTAACTGTTTAAAAAAACAATAAAACAAATTAAGCCTTTTTATTCTAAATATATAAACCTTCTAGAAAATGATATCGACAGGGTACTTTCTGATGTTATGCTTTTCTCTAAGGTTTATATATCTAGGGGTTTACTTCATCAAAAGGCTATATCTGCATAAAATTTACATGACTGTTCATAAAATGTCGCACTTATCAATGACAGAGTGCAAAAACAGAACGTATGGTCTAAAATGTATATACAAGTGTGGACACTGTTTAAATGGGGTTCCTTGTGACGTGGAGACTGGAAGCTGTGGAACAGAATGTGATCCTGGCTATCTTGGAGACCTTTGTGACAAGGGTATAACCTCATCAATTTTCATACATGTACTCGTATTCACAATAATTTGATCAATGGATACTTGTAAATAGAATTATGATATGTTTGCAAGTAGAAGCCATTTTTGAGATATTGAAGATTAATGAGATCTATTTTTCTGTCAGCTTGTGAAAATGGCAGTTACGGACCAAGTTGTAACTTCACCTGTGGTCATTGTTTAAATAGAGAACTCTGTGATAAGGGTACAGGAATGTGTAGCACAGGGTGTGACCCTGGGTATTTCGGAGATAGATGTCACGAAGGTAGAAGTTCTTTATTTTGTACATTGATTAATGACATATAATCATAAAGTACATGTGCTTAGTAAGACAAGAATCTTCCTGATCTGATTTAGGGAATCGATAAATAGTAATGGAAAGCTTTTTTGTTTATATTTTAAAGCAAAGTTCAATAGTTTTTATGATAGCATACGTTTTTCGGAATTTTGATAGAGTGTTTGCCGGGAATGTTTGGAACGAATTGTAGTTATTTCTGCAGTGGTCACTGTTCACACAACGAGAGTTGTTATCACGTGGATGGGATTTGTAAAATAGGGTGTACTGCCGGGTACAGAGGAAATTACTGTGATATTGGTAATTATCTACCATCATTTAAGATTCTGAAATATTAAACATAATGTCATATTTTCATATAAATCATATACACCATTATGATATTTTCATGTAAATCATTTAATATGGCTTTGGATGCTACATCTTGGTTTAATGCTTTTTTTCAGTTTGTGAACCTGGGTTTTATGGCATAAACTGCAAAGAGAAATGTTCCAAAGGATGTCAAGACAGCTGTAACCGTATCGATGGTTTTTGTAGATGTAATGCTGGGTGGACGGGGTTCCCGAAGTGTAACATAGGTAAAAACGTATACGGAAGAATTTATTTTTAAAAAACTAATGAGAAGTGAAGTGTGAGAAGTTAACTAGCTTAGGCACTGATTTCTCTGAAAGAATGTTACAGATTAGATATTGTGCAAAGTTGATCAAGGAATTTAAGATAAAAATAAATCATCATGGATTTTTTGATTCGACCAGAAATTAATTTTTAAATCCTATCTCTTTTTAACTCAAGAATGTCCTTCAAACTTTTTTGGAATTGACTGCCGACACCTGTGTAGTGATCACTGCGGTAACAATGATACCTGTAGTGGGTATTACGGGACGTGTGACGGCGGTTGTCAAGAACCCTTTATTGGTCGTATCTGTGATCATCAAAGTGAGTGACAGCTTTGTAGTGAAATTTATTTATGATAGGCACTGAGGTTTCTGATAAATTTGAACTAGAGAAAATTGTCACAATTTACTATACGTTATTCTTATAACTTTCTGAAACTTTACAGGAAGCTTCCCTTAATTATTTATGTAGCAATATACCGTTATCACACGCATATGGTACCCAGTTGATTAGTTGATTCGTTATGCATCTTCTACGAACAAACAATTTCCAAAAAGAGGCAAGTTACTGACGAATAAGTTGATATAAACAGTCTCGTTCAAAGTCAACGTTTCTCAAATTCATTGGTCGATACAATGACCGTGTTACCAAATACAATATATCGTTAAGTTGAATGTTGATTGATTTTTTTTATTGGAAATGTTTGGTCATTATTTTCACACTGAATTGTCTACGGATTTTTCCGTTCACCCGATCACGACAATGAGCGCACGGCGTTCAATGAGTGACCGATCGACAGGGGATGCTTACTCTTCTATGGCACCTGATCCCACAATGATGTTTTAGAGGTTTTAGAGGTCCGCGTTTGCTCTGTTCATAATTTTTATTGCTTCAATCACTTTTTGGACTTGATTACTGTTCGTTATCTTCATATTTCATTCATAATGACTCTTCTTTTTGAGCGTTAAACATATTTAATTTAAATACGTATAATGTATTGACGCTTGAACAAATATATTATTTTTATTTGACTTGTATCAAACTTCAGTGATAAAAACTGATCACGGTAGCCTAGTGGTAGGGCGTACGCTTCGTGATCAGGAGCTTCGATTCTCGTTCGCCGCGCCGCGTCAAACATAAGACGTAAAGATAGATAGTGACTGTTCCTTCACCAAGCATCCGGCATAAGAAGTGAAAGTCACGGGTCTTTCCCGACCCGAGAACGGGGATCCCGTGTCACGGTAGGCGTTTGTCACGATAAAGAACCCTCACTGCTCAATTACCCTGATTGCCGAGTAAAGGTCTAAATTTGAAGCCCTTCACCGTTTATGATGACGTCTTTATATGAGTGAAAATTTCACGAATGGGACGTATACAATACAATCAATACAATGGGACGTAAACAATACAATCAATTAATCAATGATGAAAAGGTGTAAGAAAGAATATTACGTTTTTTTCTGCAAAGGAAGTATGCCATTTTCTGTCGCATCTGATGAAACAACACTGGAAATCTGCAATAATTTAGACGGAGTATGTAGATGAAATAAATAAAACCCCTGTTCAAAGATAAAATAGTGAAAAGCTTTCGAAAACTATATGTATCTTAATAAAATAGAATTTATAATTTAAAAGATGAAACGTTTCAGAGAATTTAGAGGGAAGTCTTTCTGAACTTTAGAAAAATTCAATTTGATTTTATCTATATGTAGTGAATTCGTGTTTGTTATATCAAGGGTCTGTTTCCGAGAAAAAATTCATAGAAATTCGGTGTTTAGATGTATTTTTGTTCGTATTAAATAATTAGATAATCAACTTAGCTACAATGTTCCATCATCCATTTCAGATTTAACTGAGTATCGAGAAGAACAAATTTGTGTGTATAAACCTCTTTCTACGGCGTGGATTGCAGGACTGACTGTTTCTTTAACATCAAATTTATTTGCAATTTTTATCATCATTTTTGAAATAAGGTAATGTTTAAAAGTTAATTCGATTTTGCGATGCAAATTGATCAAGTTAAAACAAAACTGGTTTTTAAAATTTTTTTTTTGATCATCATTGGTTTATCAAATAAGCATTTTTATGGTAAAATGTGTTGCCAGAAGTTTATGGATATAATATATGATCTAATGATATATAATAAAAACAAAAATGATTTTTTTTTATCTTTTAAAGAAAAATGACTTGCAAATATATATTATTGGCTGTTTCAACTCTATTTGTAGACACTGTCAATTAAACGCAAAAGCAAACAAAACACCAGAAAAGTACATTTCAATGACAGATTCAAGGAATTTGGATAATGAAGACACAACTCATCAGTATGAAGAAATAGTTATCCCTACAAATTAGAAATTCTTGAAAATGTAACACATGATTTCTGCCGGTGCTTTTCTCTCTCTGAAAAGAATAGCATCATATTAATCACTTGTGGTTAATACAAATTATGCATAATCACAATAAATACCTAAAGCTGTAAACTCATCACTGATTATCAAGAACATATGACTTGTTATATACATAATTATATGTCTCTAAACTATTCAGTTGGGTAGATTAACCTGCATATATAGTTTTGATCGTTCTTATAGATCTTTTGTTATTCTCTAACTCCTGTATGCCTGATCATAACACTGCTTTCATCGAAACCAAAGAGGGATTCTCTATTTTTTGTTGGACATTTTATACAAAATAGGCTCGATAAAAGTGATAAATGTACATGTATAAATTATAAGTTTAAGGTTTACTAGTAATCAGTTTTTACGTTCATGAACTCTCTGAAGACTAGTGCCCTTACTGCCACGCTGTGCACCAGATGGACGGGTTCATTACTGATTAAAGGAGACTGCATAACATGCCTGAGACTCTAAGATACACATTAAATGGGGTTTTTTAAAACTCCAAAATAAATTTGAGCACATTTTCTGATTTTTATAGTATAATGCATGTATAAAATACATATTTAGTATTGTTTGTAATACAATTTGAACTATCTTAGAAAAGTGTTTCTCAAACAAATGGTCGACTTTGAATTTTATTAAAATAAATATAGTGATATTATGAGCTATTACTGCTGTTATGGATTAATTACAAATCAAATACAACATTGACAACGGGCAGGCAAGCAACATACCAAGATATACAATGAAATAAGAAGATACAACAATGAAATTCAACATCAAAGCTACAACCCTGTAGCAGAAGGTCATGACCAAAAGTCTTCGTGATTTTCGTCTGAAATTTTCATCCTTTTACTAATACTCATTTTACTTGTTGATTAATTAAACCCATATTCAGTTAATTAAATAGATTTTTTAATAATGATCTCTCCGAAAGAAATCTAAATCTCTTCCACCAAGAAGCTAATATATGACAGTGAGCAGGGCGAATGAAATGATTTTTTTCCTTCCATACTTAGAATTTTAGTGAAAAATGCAATGTAATTTAATTGAATATTTCAAAAAGGAACAAAAGTATAGCGAATGAATAAATTTGTCTTGTAATCATAATATGCAACTTGTTAATTTTTCTATGGAAAACATATGATCCGTATATTTTATTGTATAGAATATTCTACAATAATTCCCCGTCAATACTGACTGAGAGTCTAGATTCAATTTAGATCGACAACACAGGACACTTTCATTTTTGCAAAGAAAACTGCAGCCTTATGACATACAAAACAAGTTAACACAAATCTGTACAGGGTGATTACATTTCATTAACAGAAACATGCCTGGTATGGTATATCGTCGAAGTCGAAAACACAAAATGCTATGATATGACATCTTCGTAGTCTGCCTCGGTTTAAAAATTGATCGTATTCAGAGCATGCTCTTGAGTATCGAATAAGCTGGGAGACATAAACACCATATGCAGGTGATAGTGGAATATTACCACCTAAATTAGGAAATTTGACGTCATATTGTTTGTCAAGCATTTTTAGTTGGCCATTATCGTCTATAGTCAGTAAATATCCAAATAAACAGAGACAGGCTACTGACAAATAAGTTGTTGTTACAGGAATTTCAAAAACTCATTTAAAGTCAGCATTTCGCAAATTCTATGGTCGTTATAATGACCTTGTTGCCAAATATGATCTATCATCGGGTCGTATTTTGATTGACATATTCCATGAAATATGGAGATAACGAACACGCAGCTCTGTTAAGGCTGCATAAAGGGGGCGGGGCCTAATTTATACGGGAAATGTCTACTGTGACATCACACAAATATAGCAATTCCTCACAACAGCAGAAAATGAAATAATTTGCGCTTTTAAACTGCATAAGAGTGATGAACTATATCAAAACTTACCACTGCATTCATTTTTGTCGCTATTTAAATCCCACACAGCAAGATATAAACAAGTCACTGATCGCAATGCACTTGTCGACATGACGTCATCATGGTAAAATTTGACGCATTTTATGTGCAATGAGAGGCGGATCAAGTCATTTAACCACAGTGAAAAATGCATTTTATTATTAAACAGAATATTATTTGCAAATTTTAGGTAGACCATTAATACAAATCTGAAACCTTTGTTTAGTGCCATTATTTAAAAACTATCGAGAGAGTATTGAATTAATTCTACCGTATTTTTGTGTACTGGGTGTGCATGTTTCACGCCGAGGTGCCTCATTAAATCGCGTTTTCGCAAGGGCATACACTTAATGGATCTTGACCATTTTTTAAATATGCATAACGGAAACATTCCTTAACTTGAAAAGTGCTGCTGCTTTCCTGAAATCGAGAGGATTACTGAATAAATAAATAAGATACATGGTAAAGGTCACACATATTTCGACTAGAGCCAAATAACTTGAAATTTAAACTAATAAAATGCGAATTCTATTTAAAGCAGCAGCACTTTTCATAAACTACGAGATATATAGATTCAATTTATTACTGAAATTTTTGATTCTAACTAGGGTATGCCCTTGCGGTATTGAAATTTGTTGATAATCTACATACAGTACACATTACATGCTTTTATCACGTGATTGTCAAATAACGTGACCAAACCAAATTCCGTACAGAGCGGGGTATGCTATGTTACTTCAATTAAAATTAAAGTCATGTGATAAAATACTACCTTTGCAAAAATAAATTCAGTTTAAAAAGGTATGTATTTATGCACGTTTATATTCCGCTGATTTCTTCGTAGTACGCCTTAACAGTCCTGCGCAGTAATCAAGCTCAAAAGTCAAATGAAACATACAAATCGGGAGTAGAGCAAACACGGACCCCCCAAAAAATCAGAGGTTGGATCAGGTGCCATAAAGGAATAAGCATCCCCTGTCGACCTGTCACAT